ACAATTAAAGCAAGGACACCACAAATCACAGCCGGTATTAGTTTACTGCTTCCATTATCCCCATCATCTTTTACATAATACAAATATATATTATGAATTTTTTGTTGTTTAATAGTTATATCTGAAAATAAAGAGCATAATAATTTTTTCGAGAGGGCTACTATCGCTATAATATTATGTAATTTACGTTAATTTAATTTAATTTAATTTAATTTAATAATTAATAATGATATGTACAATGAATTCAATTGATTCAAATTAACCATAATATGTTAAACTAAAACGGGAAAGCAAACTTAATTGTATATCGATATGTGCGCATTTTTATAACAATATAAACTTTTTAGGGAGACAAAATGAATCATTTTTGGAAATCACTAATTGAACAATATTACATTTATGTAGAAGAATATTACGGATACGTACAAGAACTTCAGTTAAGACTTTATTTAAGCTAGCACTACTTTTTATTATTATCTGAGATATTAAAAAGCAATGGCATCAACGCAATCTGTCAGTATAAACGATATGGGCGATCCTTTGAGACCGTATGTACCAGTCAACGAAACCCCGGACGAAAAACGTAAACGCATAACTTTAGAAAAACAAGCAAAAAAACGTAGTGAAGCTATTGATAAACAATTAAAAGCTGAAAGAGAAGAAAAGGAAAAACAAAAAACGGCAAAGTTATTATTATTAGGTTAGCAAGATTAAAAGTGAAGAATGTACCACTAGATATTTATCTCTAATTCAAAAATGTTCTGATTTCTATATAGGTTCTTCGGAAAGTGGTAAAACGACCGTGCTTAAACAATTAAAAATCATTCATGGTAAAGGACTTTCTGATGAACGTCAACGGTACCGCCGCATAGTTCACCTTAACGTACTTACGGCGATGAAGGCTCTGACAAATGCTCTTATAGCCCTTGGATATTCTATTAAACCTGAAAATCAACAACACTTGGATAAAATTAACAATTTAACTGGAGTAAAGAATACGTTGAATCGTAATTCTATCACCTTTCAGGCAGCCATCAAGGACCAACAATTAGACGATGATTCACAGTATTTATTTATGGAACACGTTGACTCTATTATAGCTTTATGGAAAGACTCTGCTATCAAAAAATGTTACAATTCTGCGAGCGAAATTGGATTACAAGATTCTGCAAAATAGTAAGTCTTTTAATATAGCTTTATTGCACTTTTACATTATATGAATTAATATTTAATTGAAAATTTATTTTTTTTTACCAAGCTTTTTGGATAATGTAGAACGATTTGGTAAAGATGACTATTTACCGACTGATGAAGATATTCTTCAAGCTCGTATACGAACAGTTGGTGTGGCAGAACATAGGTTCGAAATAGCTGATGTAATATACAAGTAAGAAGCTTTAGTATATAGACAACTTATAATTTTTTTCTTATAAAATAAAAACAAATACTACAATTATATAATCCTTATTTTCAAATATTATCAAAAAAATTTTTGTTTGAATATATTAATTTTATAAAA